GCTATGTAACACAACCTGAAGGACTGGGGCAACAGACTACATCGAGAGCTCAAGCAGCTTGGTGAGCAACTTGAACATAACCTTCTATGCTTGTTGCACAAAATTCTAAGCTCTAAGAAAAAACCAGGATCTTGGAAATGACCATGGGAAAAATTCTATCACATCTTATACTGAATGACTCATTGATTCATTTGTTAAACAGAGGTGAACAACAACTAAGAACTTCATCTCATCTTTCCCCAACGCTAAGTAATGTTGTCATACCCACTAAGCCTAGGGGAAGTGGACGACCTAATGTAGAACCTAGTTTGTCAAAGTCAAATGAAGAGCTATTAAAGAAGAATGTTAAACTTGGGAAACAATTAAAGGAAATTCAGAAATCAATTGATGAGCTAAAAAACTCGAGGTTGTGACTTTGGGCCCCAGACCTAGATAATGCACCTCTTAGCTTGTTAATCACATCAGAGCCTTATCCAAGAATGGTTTAAAATCCCCCATCTCGAGACTTATGATGGGTTAGGTGACCCAGATGAACATTTACATACCTACCAAGCAATCATTAAGATATAGAATGCTTTAGATACAATGATATGTAAGGTGTTTCTAGCGACTCTGAAGTTAACTACTAGAAGATGGTACCATAAGTTGCTGGGACCTGGGACACTCAATCACTTCATACTCCTAGCTCACTACTTTATTTTCTAACAAATTTGCAAGCTAGAGGGAAATAAAATACACAGCCACAAAGTTGATACAAGTTCACCAAAAAGAAAGTGAATCCTTAAGAGATTATATGTAGAGATTTAATAAGGCCAATTTGAACATTGATGATGTTCTAGACACGATCTACTTATCTGCCCTATTGTACAGACTAAGACCTGGTTGCTTCCTTGACAACCCTTGAAAACCCACCAAAGACATGGAATGAAGTTAATGACATGTCAGCAAGTTTTATCTTGTCAGAAGATTTTCAATTGTCTAAGAGATGAGTAGATGATAAGCCAGAAAAAGACTCAAAGCAACAAGAAGGGAAGAAGAAAAGAAGAAACAAAAAGTTGCTGATTCGAGAGGAAGGATAGGCAATTTCTAGCCCTAAGCTAAGTACGCAAATTATAACCTGTTGAGCTCGTTAAGGTCACAGATTTTGGCTTAAATACAAAATGGGCAAAAAGGCCAGCCTTTATGCCTTTTGACCCAACCAAAATAGATAGGAGCAAGTATTGTGATTATCACTGTGGCTATGGTAACTACACAAAAGACTGTCAAAGCTTGAAAGATGAGTTGGAGTTCTTAGCTTGAAGCGGGAGGTTAGAAGACTACATATAAAAGTCATTTTCACAATAATCTAATCAAATGCCTTATATTCAAGATTATGTATGACGACAGGCGTAAGGATACTAAGTCGACAACAGCTAAGGAACATATCAAGGAACTTCTTTTTCCTTTGATGTTAGTAGAAACTTTAGAGGCCACCACAGGGGCAAAAGGGGGTAGGGCCAAAGAACTGCCATCCAAAATAAAAAAGACAAGGTTTAAGTACCATTTTGGTCCCTCAACTTTTTACTTTGGTATCAAAATTATCCCTCAGCTTTAAAAAGTACCAAAATTATTCTTAAACTTTCATTTTCGGTACCAAAATGGTCCTTCCGTCAGTTAAATGACAGGTGGCACGTTAAAATGCCAGCAAATCAATTCTTTTTTTTTTTCTTAACTAATGACATGGAAAAAAAAACATAGTTGGCATTTTTTTTATGAGTTGGCATTTTCATTTAATTTGAAAAAATAAATCTTTTTTTTTCACCCACGTCAGATTTCTTCTTCCTCTTTCATTTTCTCTCCTTTACCTTTCCTTTTCTTTTATCT